AAATTTGAACTGGCCTTCAACCCGCTTTCTCTTAAATGTGCCTTAAAATTAATTTTATCTCAGGCTCTTGACAAGGAAGAAATGCACCTCCCTATTGAGTGGTTTTAAAGGGTTTTAGTGAATATTTTATTATGCAATATGAGCATTATACTTTTCTGTTTGCAATTCCTTTTCTTCCTTCCTTTTTTATTTCTGATTATTTGCTTCTATTCCAGAAATAATTTGAAGTTATCAACAAGTACAGGCATTTTAGAAATGTGAATTATAAATAAAATTCTCAAAGTATTGTGAAAAGGATCTTGTTACTAAATCATGTCAGTGCACTTACTAAAGTTATTATAAATAATTAGGTATTATTCTGCAATATTGTTAGTATGAAATGGCTAGAATTATCTATTTCCTTCAACAAAGTGGCATTCAGGGAATACTGCTATTTGGTTGGCTGACATGATTTAGTGAACCTCTTAAGGCAAATTTTCTCAGGATAAAGATAGGCAATCTGATTCTCTTTTGGACGGCAATTTTTGTATCCCTTAACACAGTGGTTCCCAACCTTTTTTTTGCCCTGCACCCCTAAAGAAATTTTACTCGAACCTCGCACCCCTGAAATTTAGACTTTAGAAACTACTGAACACGTTAAATATATGGTAGAATTGAATCTTTTCAGCTATGTATGTGACGGCCACTAAATAACGATACTTAACTCTAAAATGAAAACAAAGTTAATCCATTGCATAATAAATAAAAATGCCAGCATATAGCCAATATCCTATTATTTACCTGGACTTTTCTCGCACCCCCTGGAATATTGTCTCGCACCCCTAGGGGGTGCGAGCACCCCAGGTTGGGAACCCCTGCCTTAACACAATCCCTTTATTCATTGCATTATAATTTGGATTTATGTTTCAATCTAAAACATTCAGAGAACAACGAATTGCCTACTCCTGCTCAGAAATTTATATTGTACAAGTGCTTTTGTATAATAATTCTGAAAGAACAGTCTAGGTCATGGGTGTCAAGTTCAATCATATCACGTGATGTCTCATGAAGTTTTTTGCCTTTGCAGAGCTGGGGTGTGCATGATACATCTGGCCCGTGGGCCACCATGACACCCGTGGTCTAGATTTACTATTACTATTAAGGAAAAGTGCAAGTTAATTTAATAATACCTAAAAGATCTTATTATTCAATAGAAATTAACTGCTTTGAATTGAGAAGCTATTCATAATCCTTCCTTCACCTGTTTCAAACACAATTCATATTAAGTCATAGAACTTAGGTGCACTTGTCCATTAGCATTTGTGACAGACTACCATGCTGAAATGATGTATTTTACAATAAGTGCAATTTATTTCACTAACCAGATTGGAAAATCATCATAATTTAGTGTGATATAATCAAGAATAAATAAATCTTATACATACACATACTTGTTTTTCTTCCCTCCAGTCCTTCAGCACACTCAAGTTTTTCTTTAACATAACATCTGAACCAAAGAATTATGGAAAGTAATAATTCAGGCTTCTCTGAAACAAGATTTCAAGATATTCAAAATATTAGTCAGCATTCAGATTATCACTATTTGTTAGTTTGGTCAATAGAGCAAGCCATTGGAAGCTTCCTAATTCCCAACTAATCATCCCAGGAAAGAGACTGTCTATGACCTGTGAACCACAGCTAAATAAACTTCTGTATTCAATTATACCCAATATCCTCAAGAGCTCTCATGAAGTCTCTAATAGCAAGATTCTGTGATATACCAAATGTATAAAAGCCCTTCCACTGATTTTAATATATTCGTGGGTTTCTAAGAATAACTGCTAGTCTTAGTTCATTAAATGTGTTGTTGCAAGCGTTATTTTTATAACTTTTTCAGGGCACCATATTTTATTACCACAAATATTTGCAAATTCAGCAGTGCTATGTTTTGAAATACTTTTCATTTTACCATAAATTCAGTGCTCTTTTCCCCTTTACACACGGGAGATCTTCTTGACCACTCTTTGCCTATTGTCCTTAAACCCAGAAAAATCAAGAACCTCCTTGCTTCAGCAAAATGTAGAATAATTTTTTAATGCCCTCATAATAGTAAGAGTATTTATTTTCCATACCGTTGAACATAGGGACCTTGTTTCCCAGCCTGAGATCAATACAAGTGTGCAATATAATTAGATATTCCATGATTGGGGAAGATTGCAGCAGACCACGATTATTGCAGGAATGTTTTCTGGAGTACACAATTAAATCTGGAGTACATAATTTCAAAAGCGGGTAGGGTTCTTTTGTTTTTAAAATGGTTTTCAGTGCTGAAATAGGTACTTTAAATCTCTTCTGCATGGAATCTCTTTCATCTTACCTGAAACAGCTGCTGCTGCTTCTGGCTCTGGTAAGCCTCAATCCTCCTTCAAATAATTTACTCAGCAATTTCCCTGTTGCTGAAGCTGTCAGCTTCTCTCTCTTGCACTGGCTGAATACTGCCATCTGACCTGCTTATTCCTTTGCACCTGTAACCTTCCTATTTCTTATTAGCAGCAAAGAAAGAAACCTTTACTGACCAAGGTGCTGTAAGGAGAAATGATTTGCACTTTCCCCTTTTTTGTTTTCTGCTTACTGTACGCATTCTTGCTTGCTTTAACGCATTGTCTCTTTGTTTCCTTATCTCTTTGCCCTTTTCAAATTCTCTTTAATTCCTCTTCCTAGCCAGGACACAAGGCTAAATGTCTGCTCCATCCCTTCAGCCCCAGATATTTTTCTACAGTTCTTTATCCCTTTGCTAATTATTCACTTTCATTTTTTTAACCTTTCATATTTATTAATTCTGACTTTCTTCACTAGCTCCAAGCTGTCTAGTAGCAGATACATTATGTCTTCCTCATCTCCAAGTCTTTGCTCCCTCTCCCACACGCTATGCCCTGTTCTAACTTTTGATTACAAATCTGGAACTTGGCACCAGGTTTTGACTTTTTAATATCTCTTGGCAAATTCCTATTAGTCTACCCTAACCATCCACTCCAATGCAACCATTCAGGTTCCATTTATTTGTGAGGCTACACTTCTTTCCTCCAGAGGTCCAAGGCAATGTTAAAAAACACAAAAGAGGCTCAGCACTTATACCCTATGTTAGATCTGCTTCAGCTTGAACCTCTAAGTAAGAATGATCCTTAACACCATTGGAATGAGAAAGGTATAAGTAGTTTACTAGAAAGCAAATGGAATATTGTAGTGCAAAGCCAGAATTGAAATTTGCATGCCAAAACTCCAGATGAAAACTTTTCCTCCTTAAGCACTTAAGCTCTGGTGCCCCATTGTCCAATCAATTTCAAAGAGGGTGCTTTGGAAAAGGCAGGCTGATTGTAGGCTGGCTTGCAGCTGCATTCTACTCATCACAGAATGACCTTGAAATACCCTCTCCAACAGGCACTTTCACTTTCTTCACTTTCACTTTTCCCTCAAGTGCTCCTCCTCCCTCTCCGGGTTCATGGCAGACCAAAATGAGGTGGCAATTGTGACGCCCCATTTATTTCACAGGAATTCCAGGGGCTATAGAAGAGGTGTTGTCAGGCTATATATTTTGCGCCACTGTTTTTAAGTATAAGCTAAAGAAGTGTGATGAAAACATGATCTGTTGTGCAAAGATGATGAAAAGGTTCATCTAATCTCAGAGATCTCCTCAGAGTAAAAGGAAAGACAAGCATTGTAGGTTTTATTCCATTCTATAAAGTCAATGCTGTTCATTTCAACTGGACATAGTTAATTGCATAAAAATCAATCAAACTATGTTACTTGCTTTATACTGAATACAGAAGAAAAAGCATCTCCTTAATTAGTTTACATTGTAAATATATTAGAGCAGATTTAATTTCTCTAAAAATTATAACATAAAACATCTATTAATAGTTTGGGTTAAAGTGCAGAGGAGGCTATCATTTTAATCCAAAAGAAAAACTATAAAATCAAAATAAATTGTTGTGCATTTGTTGTACACTGCAGAACCATTCCCAAAATATTTAGAAAACTGTCCACAATATAGTAATAATTGTTGTCTGTATAAATTAAATAAGCTTAAATGACATTAACAAGAGAAAATGAACTTTACAGCACAAAGATAATATAATGGATGTGCATATTGGCTCAGTAGGAAACAGCAAGATGAAAAATTTGGGACTTACCCAGTTGGATTATCTGTGGTATCAATATGTGTAGAAGAAAATTACAACACAGCAAATGTAGAAGTTAATTTATTCCAAAAAAAACACCCCACCCTATCTTCTTCTCACACTCATAGGAGAGAACATGAAACTTAGCATAGATCACATATCCTTGATTAACATTGCCAAAGGCCAGACCAGGTGTAACTGAGAGATAGGAGTTTGCAAACACCCAGGAAGTGAAAATAAATGGTAACAGAAAAGGAGCATATTTAAGAGAGCTCGAACAGATGAGTTGTGTGATTTAGATCTATTTTGATCAGTCATGCTGCTGAAGTTAAACTAATTTGGTTACTGCCTAGGTGGAAAAAAAATCCAAAACACAGTATAAACAATTTTGAATTCCATTAGTGAAGATCACCACAACATAAAGATTTTAAAAAAGAGATGGGTAGTAGTATTCATAATTTAGGTGTATTTTCAATTGTATCTGAGTATTGTTACAGTAGGTTCCCAACATCAGGATATGAGATTAAGATTAAAGGCAAAAGGAGAAGGGCATGACAGAGGATCAGGTGGTTAAATACTTTTATCACTGCAATGAACCTGAACTCTGGGACACAGTGGAGGACAGAAGACCCTGGACTGCTATGGTACATGGGGTCACAAAGAATTGAACATGACTTAGTGACTGAACAACAACTGTTAGATTAACTGATTTGTGAACCTTTCAATGTGTTATTTTAAACTATATACTGTATTTATTTAAATTTGTTGGTAAAATATTGGCATTTTTAATTGAAAAGAACATGATTATCAGAATCATCAGTTTAATTTTCAATATTATTGCAGGCTGCAAATAACTTGGATAAAAGCACAACCAAAGCAGAAAGCGCTTGGCTGTTCAGAATATGGTATGGTTTTGATCATAAGTATCCTACTATTCTGTTACTATTTTCATAGTAATAATTTCATCAAAGGAGGAAATAATATAGATAAATCTGGTAAGATAATGAAAACTTTTTATTTCAAATCCTGTATGAAATCGTATTATTGATATAAAAACAAATAATGGCTTCAAAGAAGCCCCAGAAGTATGCCTTATGAAAGATACAAATATTCAAAACTAGATAAATTTACTTAACCTAGTAAAAACATATTTATATTTATATGGACAAATTAATAGCACTGATATTATTAAAAGAATCTTTTTTAGTATTTATTTTAATTTTTAAAAGGAGGCATAATAATTTCCCAGGGATGATGTGTAGAGAATGAGGCAGATGATCCAACTAATTCACTCAATTATAGCTTAATATCATTGTGATCTAATAGATTTTTGAATGTAGTGGATATTCCTATCATGGTTTAAGCTAATCCTCTCATCTGATGCCATCTGAATATGTCAGCCTTCAGTTTCTATTATCTCTAGCCTTTAGCCACTTTGAACACAAGCTGAACAAAGAACGGCTCCCAAAACATCCTTCCCTCTAGTTGGAAATAAGTTAACATAAAACATGGTGGCCTCACATCCTGCTGTTCCAAGCATAGCAAACATTTAATAAGGAACAGAATAAAGGAGGGGGGGAGGACTTCACTATTAATACCAACTATATCAGAGAAGGCTTTAGAGACTTCTGGTGTTAATTCTGTTTCTTCTTCAGAATGGAAATCATCGACTGGATGTTTTGAGGGACATAAAATAATCTATATAATTACAGGCAGAAAACCCGAAAATATGAAAATGTGGCATTGAATTGAAATCTGTGCTTTTATCTATTTCAAAGAAGGGGATGGGAGGGGCTTCTGTGAATAACAAGTGTGTATGTCCGTTTCCAGCAAGAGAGATGGCACACTCTGTCTCTCAAATGTACAAACAACGCAGTAGTCGCCAAGCAGGAAATATGTTAATGTAAGGATATGCAGCCTTAGTCAGACTAGAGATAAACTGAGCTTTTGAATGGCATGTCAAGGTTTGTAGTCCATAATTTTAGTTTTTATTTATTTATCAAGCAATCATAAGATAACAGGTATAAGTATAAACATAGTTATGAATACATGAAATGGATACATACATGAAACGGATACAAAAAATACAGTAGGACAGGGACAGTAGGCATGTTAGTGCACTTATGCACGCTCCCTATAGACCTCTAAGGAAATGGGTGAGGTCAATAGTAGACAGTTTAAGGTGAAAGTTTTGGGGGTTTGGGGAAGAAACCACAAAGAAACCACAGAGTATTCCAGACATTGACCACTCTGTTGCTGAAGTCGTATTTCCTGCAATCAAGTTTGGTGCAGTTTACCTTGAGTTTGTATCTATTGCGTGCTCTTGTATTGTTATGGATGAAGCTGAAGTATTCATTGACAGGTAGGACACTGCAATATATAATTTTATGTATTGAACTTAGATCGGACCGAAGGCAGTGTAGTTCTAGGTTTTCTAGGTCTAGAATTTCAAGTCTGGTGGCATAAAGTATTCTGCAACGAGTAGAGGAGTGGAGAACTCTTCTTGTGAAATATTTCTGGACTTTCTCAACTGTATTAATATCAGATATGTGATGCGGGTTCCAGACCGATGAGTTGTATTCAAGTATTGGTCTAGCAAATGTTTTGTATGCTCTAGTTATTAGTGTAATATTACCAGAAAAAAAGCTATGCAGGATTAGGTTAACAACTTTTAATGCCTTTTTGGCTACATACACTGCTCAAAAAAATAAAGGGAACACAAAAATAAGACATCCTAGATCTGAATGAATGAAATATTTTTATTAAATACTTGGTTCATTACATAGTTGAATGTGCTGACAACAAAATTACACAAAAATTATCAATGGAAATCAAATTTAGCAACCCATGGAGGTCTGGATTTGGAGTTACACTCCAAATTAAAGTGGAAAAAAACACTACAGGCTGATCCAACTTTGATGTAATGTCCTTAAAACAAGTCAAAATGAGGCTCAGTAGTGTGCCTATATGACTTCCCTACAATGCCTGGGCATGCTCCATGTGCCTGTATGACCTCCCTACAATGCCTGGGCATGCTCCTGATGAGGTGGCGGATGGTCTCCTGAGGGATCTCCTCCCACACCTGGACTAAATCATTCCCCAACTCCTGGACAGTCTGTGGTGCAACGTGGCGTTGGTGGATGGAGCAAGACATGATGTCCCAGATGTGTTCAATTGGATTCAGGTCTGGGGAACAGGCGGGCCAGTCCATAGCATCAATGCCTTCATCTTGCAGGAACTTCTGACACACTCCAGCCACATGAGGTCTAGCATTGTCTTGCATTAGGAGGAACCCAGGGCCAACCGCACCAGCATATGGTCTCACAAGGGGTCTGAGGATCTCATCTCGGTACCTAATGGTAGTCACACTACCTCTGGTGAGCACATAGAGGGCTGTGCAGCCCCCTAAAGAAATGCCACCCCACACCATTACTGACCCACTGCGAAACCGGTCATGATGGAGGATGTTGCAGGCAGCAGAATGTTCTCCATGGCATCTCCAGACCCTGTCACATCTGTTACATGTGCTCAGTGTGAACCTGCTTTAATCTGTGAAGAACACAGGGCGCCAGTGGCAAATTTGCCAATCTTGGTGTTCTCTGGCAAATACCAAATGTCCTGCACGGTGTTGGGCTGTAAGCACAACCCCCACCTGTGGACGTCGGGCTGTTTGAGCAGCCACATGCACACTTGTGATCCCCTGGAAGTCATTTTGCAGGGCTCTGGCAGTGCTCCTCCTGTCCCTCCTTGCACAAAAGTGGAGGTAGTGGTCCTGATGCTGGATTGTTGCCCCTCATGGCCTCCTCCACGTCTCCTGATGTACTGGCCTTTCTCCTGGTAGCGCCTCCATGCTCTGGACACTACGCTGACAGACACAGCAAACCTTCTTGCCACAGCTCACATTGATGTGCCCATCCTAGATGAGCTGCACTACCTGAGCCACTTGTGTGGGTTGTAGACTCTGTCTCATGCTACCACCAGAGTGAAAGCACCACCAGCATTCAAAAGTGCCCAAACCATCATCCAGAAAGCATAGGAACTGTGAAGTGGTCTGTGGTCACCACCTGCAGAACCACTCCTTTATTGGGGATGTCTTGCACTGCCTATGCTTTCCACCTCTTGTCTATTCCATTTGCACAACAGCATGTGAAATTGATTGTCAATCAGTGTTGCTACCTAAGTGGACAGTTTGATTTCACAGAAGTGTGATTGACTTGGAGTTACACTGTGTTGTTTAAGTGTTCCCTTTATTTTTTTGAGCAGTGTAGTTACAGTGGGCTCTAGTACTTAGATCATTCGAGATGAGTACTCCAGGGTCCTTGACAGAGTTTGGCTCATCAGCAAGGTCTTGACTATTCAGCTTGTATTTTATTTTCTGATTTTTTTTGCCAGTATGTAAGACAGAGACAAATTGATACTTAGGCTTGCTTTAACTGATATTCGAGTGTAAATAATTATAATGAATTAGTACAGTGGATAGAACAGGTTTTTCAGATATTTAATAATTTTCTCTTTGTGAGGTATTAAACATTTAAATATGCAGAAGCTTTTGAAGAGACCTGCAGGCCTCACACAAGGTTTCCATGAGTCATAAACAGACTGATTGTTCACTTCTGCACTAAGGGATAAAAACAGATCCAGAAGGGAAAACATTATACAACAGTTTATGTTATGCTGGTCCTTTTTATATTGTTATACCTTTTATGTAATAAAGTCTATTTATTAAATTATTAAATATTAAAATATAGTAGTATAGCAATAGCATAATATAAATTAAATAATAAATTTTATATAAATATTATATAATGTACATTAAATATTATATAAATGTATATTCGTGTTTCCCTGAAAATAGGATTGGGTCTTATTTTCTTTTGGGACCCAAAATAAGCACTGGGGCTTATTTTCAGGAGTGTTTTATTTTTTTTCCCATGTACAGAAGCCCATTACTTTTGCTTGATCATGGCGGGGCAGGAGGCTGCATGGTGTCATTGCCACTGCCGCAAACCAGCTTACCTCAGGGCCCCCATAGCCAGGCCAAGCATGCCCCACCATTTGCCTCACCTCACGGCAGCTCAGCCCCATCCAGCAAGATGTCGCTCCAGGAGCCCCGTGCAGCAAGATATCGCATGGCCGTTGGTCCACTTCTTCTGCTTGCTTATGGCCACAATAGAGCAGGAAGCTGAGCAACGTGCCGGTGCCATGGCCACGAGCTGCCCCATGCATCCTACACTGGCTTACCTAAGGGCTCCGCAAGCCAGGGCATCCACATCCTGACATCTGCATTGCCTTGTGGCTGTTACACCACTACACTGCTTGGCTTCCTACTCTGTTGTGGCCACAAACAAACAGAAGTGGCCCTGTGGCCACATGGGCTCCTGCTGCACGAGGTTGCTGGTGCTATTGCTGTCAGGGCATGGATGAACTGGCTGCAGAGGTCGAGGTATGGGGCACATGGCGCAATTCTCCCGTGGTACCATGAGCCACCAGATGAAATGAGGGATTTTCTCTGAAAAGATAGCAAAATTTGTCCTGAATTATGTTTTGTTCATTTCTGGCTTTTCTCTCATAAAGCTTGAAATGGGCAGATGGAAATCATAAGGCAGGATTAATCTGCAATATTAACTGAGAATTTATAATAGGCTTTTTATCACTAATTGATTCCCCAGTTTCTGTGTTTCAAATCAAACTGTAATCTTGATAATATTTTGCAAACTGTACTTGAACTGAAGACAATTTGTATTCTAAGCAAATTAATTCTCCTTCCCGTCGTAAGGATGAATCTTTCTTTAACATTCTTTAACATAACAACTGACCTGCCATTATTGTACAATTGTATTTTCATTTTCACAGATGTACACAGACGCAGTTATACAGATATTTATATATAAACATTTTTCCACTAACAACTACAGTGCATGCT